CGCCGCGTGCAAGCGACTGCACATCGAATCGCAACTCGACATCTATTCCTAGAACCACGCGCGCGCGCTTCGCGCGCGCTTAGGTTCTAGGAACGCGTTTCTTTATGTTCGGCGATGACGGGCGTCATGGGGGGGGGGAGGGCGGGGGGGGTATGACATGACGCCCCCCCCCCGCCGTGTGGCTCCGGCACCACAGCCGCGCCCGCGCGCACGACACGACGAGCGACGAGCGACGAGCGACGAGCGACGACGACGACGCGAGCAGCATGTAAGTGGCGATCTGCCCATTGCGCCTGTGTACACCACAACGCTCGCGTGCACCACACCGCGCGTGTGCACCACCGCGCCTGCGTACACCGCAACAGCCGCGTGCAACGCACCGCCCGTGTATACCACAGTACGTGGGAGCACTACAGCGCCGGTGTACATACACCGCAGCAGCGATGTGCAACACAACGCCTGCGTACACCACAGTGCTTGCGTGCACCGCAGCGCCTGTGCACGCCACAGCGCCTGTCTACACCACAGCATCCGCGTGCAACGCAGCGCTGGTGTACACCACAATGCCTGCGTGCATTGGACAGGTAGAAGGAGCATGTACGTCAGGATCTGCTGCGAACAACTAAACGCCACGCCAGGAAAACTCTGAGAATCGAATGCGACGTTTTTCCCTCCTCCCTCCTCCTCCACCTCCACCTCCTCCTCCTCCTCCTCCTCCTCCTCCTCCTCCTCCTTTTCCTCCTTCTTACCCCCTGTCGTGCGGTTTGGCGTTGCAACGCACGTGCGCATGTCAGCATGCACCGCAGAATGGTCGATTGAATCGGTCCACTTGGTTCTCGGACGGCCAGTTTAGCTGGAGCCTCCTGGACGCAACTGGAAGTTAGGGTGATGCGGGCGGACTCGGGGGGACTCGTAGATTCCAGCGGCGTTCCTTCGTCCATGAGGATTTGTTTTCCATTGTTTTCTCTGGAATCCACACGCGCTCCATCTTGTCACACGGATTCCTTCTGAAATTCTATACACAACAATGGTACTGTGTTGCACACGGCTGATGTGGTGAACACAAGCGCCGTGGCGTACACAGGCACTGCAATGCACGCGCGCATTGTGGTGTACACTGGTGCTGTGTTGCGCACGGTTGATGTGGTGTACGGAGGCGCTGTGGTGTACACAGGAGCTGCTGTGCCCGCAGACACGGTGGCACAAACTGACGCTGTGTTGCACGCGGCTGCTGTGGTGTACATCGGCGGCGTGGTGTACACAGGCGCTGTGGTGCACGCGGGCACTGTGATCTACACAGGCGTTGTGGTGCATATCGCCACCTACATGTTCGTGCTACCCGTCCTCAGTCATTGCTAAGCATTCACAGACGCCGCCGGAGCGAAACGTGACGTCATCGACCCCCTCCCCCCCAGATGATTGCCGTCATCGGCCCGGACTCAAAAACAGGCTCCAGCCGCGTCCGCGCGCAAGACGACGATGAGCGACGAGCGACGAACCACGAGAGACGACGACGGACGACGACGACGACGACGACGACGACGACGACGCCTGCGGACCAGACACCTATGCGGATTCCTACGCGGACACCTACGCAGATCCCAATGCACACGGCGGGAGTGCCCGGAGCGCACTGGGGGGGGGAGCGTTACGTCATAGGGGGGGGGAGCGGGGGCCATGACGCCCGTCATGCCCCAAGCAATAAAGAAACGGGCTCTAGTCCAGCCCATGGCGCTGTGATGAAACGGAGGTCGGGGTTTCCAGGCGACTCGCAATCGGAGAAGAGTTGTGTCCGTCGTGGGCCGGTTATGGGATGTCGCAGGGCTCCCTTGGGCTGGCTTTTGGGCTTTTCAGGCGCTCTTGTGGGGGGGGCAGGTGTTTGTGGCCCCGATGGCGCCGTCCAGGGTTGCCTCTTCGTTGTCACGACGCGCAGGTCTTGGCTTGCGGGTTCGTCGAGGAGATCGCTGAACAGGCTTGGGGCATTGACTGGCTTTATGATGACATGTCGAGGCCGTAGTTTGCTGGTCTTTGGATGTCGTCACATGTTCTTGGCTTGTCTTGCCGAACATGTGCGGGAGGGACGAGGAATGACGGAGGACGGGACGAAAACTGCCCTGAAATAGAATGCGCGCGCTGCCACGCCAGCTGGCGGAGCACGTGCAGAAGAAACCCAGAGGACGGAGAACAAATTGCCTTAACACATAATGCACGCGCTGTCACGCCGGGTGGTGGAGCACTTACAGGAAGATCGAAGAAAGACGGACGAAGGAGGAACACAGCCGTGTTATAACATGCATTCGCTGACACGCCAACTGGCGGAGCATGTGCAGGACGAAGGAGCGGTAACGGAGCACGGAGAGAAAGCCGCCTTGAAACGGCATGCACGCGCTGTCACGCCGGCTGGCGGAGCACGTGCAGGCGGGACGAGGAAAGACAGACAGGATGCAGAAAAACATCTGGAAGAAACAGGAACTCTCTTGAGCCGTCTCGGGTCCTGCTGGGACGTGCCCAGACCGTTTTCGTGTTCTCCTCATGCTGTGATAGCATACCAACCATGTTGGGGCATCTTAGGGCCCAGGTCTCTTTCGAAGTCTCTCGGAGCCCAGTTGGAGCCTCTTCGGAGTCTCCTGGAGGCTTCCCGGAGTCCTCCTGGGGTCTCTTGGGGGCCTCTTTGTGTTTTCTTTTGGGCCTCCCAGGCGCCTCTTTCGGCCTGCCCTGTTGGACACCTATAGGCGGCCACGGGGGTCATTTTTGGGCAGAGGGTTCCAAATAGCAGCTCGTATTACCCCTCCATCCTGGGGCCCTCTTGGGCCGTCTTCGGGTTTTCTTGGTCCATCTTGGGGCCCTCTTGAGCCGTCTAGGGGCACTCTTGAGAGCCTCATGGGCAGTCTGTGGGCGTTTATGGAGACCTCTAGGTTTGTCTTTGACTGTGCTAAAACTAAAAAACGAATATACTAATAAGTGCAAGTTTTCCTGAGGGGATGGAGCACTCTTGCGGGTCTTCTTGGATTGGTCTTGGATCGTCGTGGGTGCCTCCCCTCTAGAGCCGCCTTGACGGCGGTCTGGGGAACCTCTTGACCCGTCTGGGAGCGTTGGAAGCCCGAAATCTATCAAAACACTAAAGGAAAATATCTGAATTTGGCCTCTCGGAACACTCGTCGGGCTGCTGTTTGAACCTTCTTGGCCCGTCTGGAACCTCTGGAAGCCGTCTTCAGGGCAGCTCGGGGCAATCTTGGTCCGTCGGGACGGCTGTCTGATCGGCCTGGGACCTGTTTGGCGGCCCCCAACAGCGGACCTGGCCCCGAAGAGAGAGGTGCATGGGCAGGAAAAGTAAGCGCCGACGCTGCCGCCGCCAGGCGCTGTGAAACTATGAAGCCACCCGGCGTCGCCAGTTTCACGGGCAGGTGGTCTCTAAAAATATGTTCGTGCAAGCCCTTCTCGCCAAATTTTCGGGCCCCGGGCCTGCTCCCCCGGCCCCAGCGACAAGGGTCGCTGCCGCTCCACCCATTGACAGAGACAAAGAAAACCGGCGTCCCAGGAACGGTCTCAGGTTTTTGGACCGTAGTGCGCATGTAGACGTACATGAAGGTTTCTGGGAAGCCTCTCAGAAGCCCGTTGGGGCCCTCTTGGGGTTCTCCTGGGGGCTTCCTGGGAACCTCGGTGGGCCTCTTGGAAGCCTCTTAGGGGGGCCTCTGGAGGCCCTTGGGGGCCTGCCGCGGGCGTCTTGGGGGCCTCTTTGGGCCTCTTGGGAGTCTCTTAGGGGCCTCTTGGGGGCATCCTGGGGCGGGGGGGCTGGAAGGTTCAGTTGGGTGTCCCGTCTTGGGCCCCTCTTGGGGCCCTTCGGGGACGCGTTTGGGCCGTTCTGGGCGCCTCTTGGACTGTCCGGGGCCCCTCTGGGGCCGTCTTGGGGCTCTCTTGTGGGCTTCGTGGGCCGTCTTGGGGCGGTCTATGGAGAGTCGGAGGTCGTAAAGGACGGTGCGAAGGCCAAAACATCGAATATGGTAAAAACGTACGTTTTACGAAAGGAACGGGGCTATTTTTGCTTCCCGGGGCCGTCTGGGGGGATCTCTTGGAAGGGTCTTCGAGCGTCTTGGAGGCGTCTGAGGCGGTCTGGGGCGGTTCGAGACGCCTCTTGAGCCGCTGGAGACCGGTGGAGGTTGTCTTCAGGGTGGCTGTGGGCGGCCTGGGGCCGCCTAGACGGCCGTCTGGGGCCGACCTGGGGCCCGCCGGGGAGCGGGCTGGGCCCGACGTCCCCCCATTTGTGGTCGGGGCTGCGGCCCCGGGGCCCCCGGGCCCCTGTGCGGCGTTATCTGTAGATCTCATATACAGTCGAAGCCAAATTCAACATGCGCACCCACATGCAAATCGGAACTGCATACAGAAGTGCATGTCGCAATTAACATCGGCATGAACATCAAACTTGCCATCGGAATGCGCATGCGAATGCATATCGGCATGCACATCGCAATGCACGTCAAACTGCAGGCCGAATGGCAAATCTAGGTGCACATCGAAATCAACTTCGACCTGCAATTCGGAAACATCGAGATGCAACTCTAACGCTAAGTCGACACACCATCGAAATGCGAAACGAAACGCAAGTACAACTGCAGTCGACATCATATTCCGATTGCAATCGGACTACCATCAAAACGCAAGTTCCTCCCCCCGACCGCCTGAGCAGAAAAGTGTGTATGGCCGCCGCGCAAGTACGCACACAGAAGGGGGACGCATCGGCTCCCACTCAGAGTGCCACAACACCAATACTCGCACGCGGGGGTGGCAGTCGAGGCCACCACCACGCTCTCTGGCATGACATGAAAATCATAAAGGCTGAAGCCTATGTGGGAAACAAAACGAGGTGCGAGGTGGGATGGGAGGAGCCTGGGGGTCCTCGGGGGTCTCTGGCTGCCCAGAAAGAGGGCCGAACACGTCCTAAACCTGGGTCCTCGATCCTCGAAGGCCGAACGACAAAGACGATGCGGAGGTCGCAGGGGCGCCTCGCCCTTCTTCGCGACCGCGAAGTACACGAGCAGCACCGTAAAGGGCGTGGTCGGGCCAAGCTCCTTTTTCAGGAAGGGCAGCAGCGCCCCGTTTTGGATAAATACCAGGTCCTCACGGCGGCCCTCTGGGATTGAGTCAATGATGCCCTTCAGAGCGTCGTTTCTGGTGCACACGTAGATGGGCCCTTCAGGCATGTTGTCAGGGAAGGGCTCACCGCGCCTCCCTCCCACACTTCAGGATTGAATCTTGAATCAGTGGACCCCAGGGATCGCGAGGAAGCGCAAGCAGGTGATGGCACAGCGAGCGTGTGATGAAGCCACGCGAAAGAATGAGAGCAATGCTGGGGTGACAACTAACACCTTAAACATTTCATAGGTCCGTGCGGGTCTCTCGGGTCGCCGCTCGACCTCCTCCCCTTGGAGCGCGGGTCGCTCCAAAGGCGGCGCTGGAAGCGCCGCCAGGGGTGGTCCCGCGCAGGCCCAGGAACTGCGCGCGAAACTTCCAACATTTATCAGAGGCTTCAAGTAAGGCTTCTTCGAAGACGTGGTACGCATCCATGACGAAAGGAACGGCTGCAGGTGCGCCCCCCTGCAGGGTGTTGCCAGAGGCAGAGGTGTCCGTGGCCCAGGATGTCACCAGGATCTCCTGGGAGGCCTCCAGGGCCTCCAGGGGCGGGAGGGAGGAGGAAGAAGAGGATTGAAGATGGCCGTTTACGGGCGCCAGCGTCATCAAATACGAATCTGGGACGAAAGCCTGGCCCTGGGGAAGGGGTTGAGACCCCTGGGATCGCGGCCTGAAATTGTCCGGGCGAGAGACCCGACCACATGCAAGTGTGACTGCCGCGAGGCAGGTGGGACGAAGGAGGAGGGAGCTCCCAACTCGCCATCACTCGTACGTCCATTCGGCGCTTTGAGCTTCTTAGTTCGGGGACGCGTCGGCCACCGCCGCCCTCTCCCTTGTCGGTGGCCCTGACGAGGTTGGGGGAGAGGGTGCCGAAACGCGCCCAGAGTCCAGCAAGGCATGAGGGTGCAAACCCGAGTTGTCTGGCTGATGCTCTGGGGGGGCCTGTGCTCAGGGGAGGCTGCAGCACCGCTCAACGATGTGCTGTTTAACCGAACCTGCAGGGTGGGCCCTTTCCGAAATCCGTGCTTCGGTGCGGATCGTAAGCGCGCCTCGTCTCCGTCGTCGTCGGCGTCGTCGTGGTCGTGGTGCGTGTTGCTCTGCTCGGGATTTTGTTTCCCTTATGCAGTGACCACCCACTTGGCTTGCCAGGCGTTGCACGCCGCCTGGCTGTCCGTCCGTCCGTCTGTCTGTCTGTTTTCCCGGCTCTCTGAGCCGCGGCGCTTTGAGCTTCTTAGCTTGGGGACGCGTCGGCCACCGCCGCCCTCTCCCTTGTCGATGGCCCTGACGAGGTTGGGGGAGAGGGTGCCGAAACGCGCCCAGAGTCCAGCAAGGCATGAGGGTGCAAACCCGACTTGTCTGGCTGATGCTCTGGGGGGGCCTGTGCTCAGGGGAGGCTGCAGCACCGCTCAACGATGTGCTGTTTAACCGAACCTGCAGGGTGGGCCCTTTCCCAAATCCGTGCTTCGGTGCGGATCGTAAGCGCGCCTCGTCTCCGTCGTCGTCGTCGTCGGCGTCGTCGTGGTCGTGGTGCGTGTTGCTCTGCTCGGGATTCTGTTTCCCTTATGCAGTGACCACCCACTTGGCTTGCCAGGCATTGCACGCCGCCTGGCTGTCCGTCCGTCCGTCTGTCTGTCTGTCTTCCCGGCTCTCTGAGCCGCGGCGCTTTGAGCTTCTTAGCTCGGGGACGCGTCGGCCACCGCCGCCCTCTCCCTTGTCGGTGGCCCTGACCCGAAACGCGCCCAGAGTCCAGCAAGGCATGAGGGTGCAAACCCGACTTGTCTGGCTGATGCTCTGGGGGGGCCTGTGCTCAGGGGAGGCTGCAGCACCGCTCAACGATGTGCTGTTTAACCGAACCTGCAGGGTGGGCCCTTTCCCAAATCCGTGCTTCGGTGCGGATCGTAAGCGCGCCTCGTCTCCGTCGTCGTCGTCGTCGTCGTCGTCGTGGTCGTGGTGCGTGTTGCTCTGCTCGGGATTCTGTTTCCCTTATGCAGTGACCACCCACTTGGCTTGCCAGGCATTGCAAACCCGGCTCTTGACCGCGGCGTTTGAGCTTCTTAGCTCGCGTCGGCCACCGCCGCCCTCTCCCTTGTCGGTGGCCCTGACGAGGTTGGGGGAGAGGGTGCCGAAACGCGCCCAGAGTCCAGCAAGGCATGAGGGTGCAAACCCGACTTGTCTGGCTGATGCTCTGGGGGGGCCTGTGCTCAGGGGAGGCTGCAGCACCGCTCAACGATGTGCTGTTTAACCGAACCTGCAGGGTGGGCCCTTTCCCAAATCCGTGCTTCGGTGCGGATCGTAAGCGCGCCTCGTCTCCGTCGTCGTCGTCGTCGGCGTCGTCGTGGTCGTGGTGCGTGTTGCTCTGCTCGGGATTCTGTTTCCCTTATGCAGTGACCACCCACTTGGCTTGCCAGGCATTGCGCGCCGCCTGGCTGTCCGTCCGTCCGTCTGTCTGTCTGTCTTCCCGGCTCTCTGAGCCGCGGCGCTTTGAGCTTCTTAGCTCGGGGACGCGTCGGCCACCGCCGCCCTCTCCCTTGTCGGTGGCCCTGACGAGGTTGGGGGAGAGGGTGCCGAAACGCGCCCAGAGTCCAGCAAGGCATGAGGGTGCAAACCCGACTTGTCTGGCTGATGCTCTGGGGGGGCCTGTGCTCAGGGGAGGCTGCAGCACCGCTCAACGATGTGCTGTTTAACCGAACCTGCAGGGTGGGCCCTTTCCCAAATCCGTGCTTCGGTGCGGATCGTAAGCGCGCCTCGTCTCCGTCGTCGTCGTCGTCGGCGTCGTCGTGGTCGTGGTGCGTGTTGCTCTGCTCGGGATTCTGTTTCCCTTATGCAGTGACCACCCACTTGGCTTGCCAGGCATTGCGCGCCGCCTGGCTGTCCGTCCGTCCGTCTGTCTGTCTGTCTTCCCGGCTCTCTGAGCCGCGGCGCTTTGAGCTTCTTAGCTCGGGGACGCGTCGGCCACCGCCGCCCTCTCCCTTGTCGGTGGCCCTGACGAGGTTGGGGGAGAGGGTGCCGAAACGCGCCCAGAGTCCAGCAAGGCATGAGGGTGCAAACCCGACTTGTCTGGCTGATGCTCTGGGGGGGCCTGTGCTCAGGGGAGGCTGCAGCACCGCTCAACGATGTGCTGTTTAACCGAACCTGCAGGGTGGGCCCTTTCCCAAATCCGTGCTTCGGTGCGGATCGTAAGCGCGCCTCGTCTCCGTCGTCGTCGTCGTCGGCGTCGTCGTGGTCGTGGTGCGTGTTGCTCTGCTCGGGATTCTGTTTCCCTTATGCAGTGACCACCCACTTGGCTTGCCAGGCATTGCACGCCGCCTGGCTGTCCGTCCGTCCGTCTGTCTGTCTGTCTTCCCGGCTCTCTGAGCCGCGGCGCTTTGAGCTTCTTAGCTCGGGGACGCGTCGGCCACCGCCGCCCTCTCCCTTGTCGGTGGCCCTGACGAGGTTGGGGGAGAGGGTGCCGAAACGCGCCCAGAGTCCAGCAAGGCATGAGGGTGCAAACCCGACTTGTCTGGCTGATGCTCTGGGGGGGCCTGTGCTCAGGGGAGGCTGCAGCACCGCTCAACGATGTGCTGTTTAACCGAACCTGCAGGGTGGGCCCTTTCCCAAATCCGTGCTTCGGTGCGGATCGTAAGCGCGCCTCGTCTCCGTCGTCGTCGTCGTCGGCGTCGTCGTGGTCGTGGTGCGTGTTGCTCTGCTCGGGATTCTGTTTCCCTTATGCAGTGACCACCCACTTGGCTTGCCAGGCATTGCGCGCCGCCTGGCTGTCCGTCCGTCCGTCTGTCTGTCTGTCTTCCCGGCTCTCTGAGCCGCGGCGCTTTGAGCTTCTTAGCTCGGGGACGCGTCGGCCACCGCCGCCCTCTCCCTTGTCGGTGGCCCTGACGAGGTTGGGGGAGAGGGTGCCGAAACGCGCCCAGAGTCCAGCAAGGCATGAGGGTGCAAACCCGAGTTGTCTGGCTGATGCTCTGGGGGGGCCTGTACTCAGGGGAGGCTGCAGCACCGCTCAACGATGTGCTGTTTAACCGAACCTGCAGGGTGGGCCCTTTCCCAAATCCGTGCTTCGGTGCGGATCGTAAGCGCGCCTCGTCTCCGTCGTCGTCGTCGTCGTCGGCGTCGTTGTGGTCGTGGTGCGTGTTGCTCTGCTCGGGATTCTGTTTCCCTCATGCAGTGACCACCACCACCACGTCCATTCGTGCGTGATTTTTTCGCAAGATGACACAACAAGGCTCCACGATGGCCTTCGCCGAGAAGAATGCACACGTCCGAACGATATCAAGCCTACGCGGCCACGGAACGTATGAGGGGTGTGCCGACATGGGCGGAGGAACGCATCCCCTCGGGCCTTCGTCGGAGCTCCCTGTCGGGGCACGTAGCGTGTGAGAGGTGCGCCGACATGGGTGCGGTGCCGCCATGCGGGCCCTGCCGCTGGGCCTTCGGTGGAGCTCCCCATGGGGACAACGAAACGTGTGAGGGGTGTGCGGAATTGTCACAATGGGGACAACGAAACGTGTGAGTGGTGTGCCGAATTGGGTGCGGGTACGCCATGCGCAGGCAGCCACTGGGGCCTTCGGCGGAGCTCCCCATGGGGACACGAAACGTGTGAGAGGTGTGCCGAATCGGGTGCGAGTGAGCTCCCCGTGGGTACATGAAACGTGTGAGGGGTGTACAGTATTGGGCGCGGGCACGCCATGCGAAGGCAGCCACTGGGGCCTTCGGCGGAGCTCCCCATGGGGACACGAAACGTGTGATGTGTGTGCTGAATCGGGTGCGCGTACGCCATGCGCAGACAGCCAGTGAGGCCTTCGGTGGAGCTCCAAATAGACCCACGAAACGTGTGAGTGGTGTGCAGAATCGAGTGCGGGCACGCTATGCGAGGGCAGCCACTGGGGCCTTCGGCGGAGCTCCAAATAGACCCACGAAGCGTGTGAGGGGTGCGCCGAATAGGGGGCGTGTGCGCCATGCGAACGCACCCCCTGGGGCTTTCGGTGGAGCTCCCTGTGTGGCCACGAAACGTGTGAGGGGCAGAGGCTGGGATGGGAGGAGGGAGGACGACGAGGAGGAGAGGAGAGGACGCGGGGCGATGCGTATTCAAAACGATGACCCAACATCACAGGATGTTTGGGAAACACACACACATCGTCGGATGTCTGGGAGGATTGAGGAGCAGGAAGGGGAGGAGGAGGAGAAGGAGGAGAGAAGAGGAGGAGGAGGAGGAGGAGGGAGAAGGCGGGGCCAGCGCGACTGCGAGAGGCGAGGCATCGCCTGGGCCAAGCGCGGCGTGCGCAAGGGGTCGCCCCACGTGCCGGCGATGCCGAAGTGCCTGCCGCCGCCGGCCCAGAGCTCGGCGAGCTCGGGGCCATCACCGAGAGCTCTGGAAGTCCGCGCGCCCGTGTGTTCGGCTGTTGCAAGAAGTGGCCCAGGCCCAAGGCGACCCAGGCGTTCCCAGGGGGGCGCAGATGGCTTCCAGAGCACATCTCACGCGGCCGAGGGGGCCCCAAGATTGCGCGAAGAGCTGGGAGGACCCCGGGCCAGGACCGCTTCTCGCAACACCCGACGTGTCAACACGACGATTGGGCCTCCCTTCTTCCTTCCCGCCCTCCGCGTGCGCCTCCCTCTCTCTTCGCCTCGCCTCTCGCAGGGGCGCAACTCGCCCCACGGTCTCACTGGCCCAAACTGTTCACCGCGCCGGCCTGTGCCCATCGCCGCTGGTCAAAACGGCAGCCCAACGATGCAGCTGACGCTGACGCTGCCTGCAAGAGTGTCCGCGCGAGGTGACTGAGCGGGTTGGGGCCAGAGCGCCCAGAAGCAAGCAAAACAGGTGGGACTGGAGGATTTGGGGCTAACAAGCACCCGCAGGATCAACAACACTCGCCCCAAGCTCACTCCGCTAGGTTTTCTAGACAAGTCGATGTAACCATCATAATCTAGAAGAACAAACATAGTTGCGTCAACACACACTATCGGAGGTTTGGTCGGATTTCTTAGATCGGCGCTGGCCCCCCCTGATGCAGAGGATCGGATCTACCCTTCCACCCCCACCACGCCTTCGAGGGACGCTGGGGGGTCTCGTGGAAGGCCCAGTCCGTCGGATTCGTTTGCAAAGCTGTGGCCTGCCTGGAGCTTCGTTCGGAGCATTCGAGATGTCCTTCGCTCAGGCTTGCACAGGGGGGCAGGAGCGGGTGGTCCAGAGTCGTGGGGCCAGTCTTGATGACAGCCAGGTGGGGCAGGATGACCTTGCAGGCGCCGATGGGAAAAAGTAGCCTGATGCTAGGTCGTCTGAGTCAGTGGAGGCCCCCTGCCTAACAGTAGTGTGGATATCAAACTCCCTTCTGCAGCGATCATCCCAGGTAAGGGGGAATCCCACGCCTGAGGCGGGAATAATGCACGCCAACAATCAGTTCCAGCAGGCTGGCCCACTTGCGACTCCGATTGGCTGGCCCCGCCGACACTCCAGGCGGGCAACTGGTTCTGGCCAACAATAGAGAGGTGGCCCTTTCAATCTTCTGCTCCACTCAAGGCCTGCAATAGAAGTGGCACCTACGGGTAGGTAGGTCCAGGAGGTGGCTCGGACCGACTGATGCTGTCAGCAAGGGCGGGGCATAACATAATCGAATGCGTTCTGCCCCCAACTGGCGAGCGCCCCATCTTAAACACCGCCTTAAATAGCATCGTGCCTTCTGAGACGGACACGCGCCAAACAAACACGCCCAACCCCGCGAACGAATCTGTTCGAACATGGTGCTGTCCATCATCGGGCCGTCCGTCCAGGGGCGTCCAGCGCGGTGTCCCAGTCGCTCATGGGAAAAACACATTCGGTTGCGCTCCATGTTGAAGTCTCGAGTCTGTCTTACAATGCGTGTCGCCGCTGCTATCCATCGCCCTGCCCGCGCCCCTCGACGCCCGTGCTGACGACGTGCACCTTCTGGCCCACTGCAACTCCCAAGCCGCTGACTCACTGAACATGCCCAGGATGGTGCCCGATGTAGAACCAAAGTCTGGGTTGTGCCCGCAGAGCTCGACCAACATCCTCAGACACAGCCACCGTGCTACCGCACGGAACACCCGGAACGCTGCATGAGGAACGACGCGGCTTCTCTGACCACGGCGAGCCTCTGCCACGAACAGGCACCCCCGACCCAGATCCAGAGACGACCCGAAAGCCCGAGCTCCTCCCGAACCCCAAGCGGTCCGCATGTCAGTGTCTCGACTGCGTACAAGGGGGGGGCGCACCACGCCCGCAAACACACAACGCACCCCCCCCTTCGCGAAGATGGCCGTGGCTGCGCTCCTGGCCTGCGTGGGTTCGACTGCGGCGCCGCCCGCGGCGCTCGCTGCAACACGGCTGCGCCGCTGTCGGCAGGCTGCTGCGGCGCCACGGTCCCGCTCGCGGAGGACGCGCGCCGCCTGCGAGGCGCCACTAGTGGGCCCGTGGGCACGGGGAGGGGGGGGGGTGGGGCTGGGGGGATGGGGGCGGGGAGGAAGAGCGGAGGAGAGGGAGGAAGGACAAGACTCGCGCCGCGGCTGGCATCCTGCCCCTCTCGCCCGACCCTTTCCGAAGCCCTTTCCGTGGTGCTGACCTGTTCTCTATATCCGCCGACGGGTGTCGTACAATGGATCTGTACGCACCCGAAATGTCACCGCCGTGTTGTGCGTAATCAGACAGGGGAGCTGAGCACGTGGGAGAAGGTGGCGGATGAGCCAGAGGATGAACTGGAGGGCGAAGATGCAGGGGACGGAGGATGAGGAGTGAAGAGGCGGAGGATGAGGAGGTGGAGGAGGAGGAGGATGAGGAGGGAGGAGGGAGGACGTGGAGAAGGAGGATGATGAGTGAGGAGGCGGAGGAGGACCAAGGGAATGCGGAGGAGGGACACCGAGGGGGGCGGCAACGACGAAGGAAGGACTCGGACCCAGAAATGTGGCCCGCGCGGGGGCGAAATGCACCATTCGGAAAGGCGGGATCAGAGCGCCGATCCTGTGATAATGCCAAGGCTGCGGCGGGAACACCACTTTGAACAACCACATCTGTACGATGGACAACAACAACACACATAGCACCTTGAAATCCGCCGACCCTGTCGGCGTGTGGAAGATGCTTTTCCGTTCGTCGTGAACGTCGTCGTCGTCGTCGCCACCGTCGTCGTCGTCGTCGTCGTCGCCGTCGTCGTCGTCGTCGTCGTCGCCGATGCTCTTCTGTTCGTCGTCGTCGTCGTCGTCGTCGTCGTCGCCCTCCCCTCAGGCGCGCCAGCCAAAGCGAAACCAAAGCGAAATCGAGCAACGTCGTAGCTGAGTCGAAGGCAAAGCGAAATTGAGCAACGTCGTAGCTGAGTCGAAGGGAAACCCCTTCCCTTTGATCCCTTCCCCGCGGGTGGGGGGTGGTTTGGGGGGGGGGGGTCCTGGGGAGGGGGGGGGGCAGATACGCATCCCCCCCGGGATGTCCCGGGACCTAGAAGAGCCCCCAGACTGGCCAAGAATGCCCCAAGAGGCTTGCAAGACGGCTCCAGAGGGCCCCGAATCGCCGAACCATCGGTCGAAGACGCCAAAGTAGCCTCCAGACGGCCCAAGAGATTGCCAAGATGCTCCAAGAAGTCTCCAAGAGCACTCCCAAGAGGGCACGAAGAGGGAAACATCAATGATTTCCTTAAAGTTTTTGACAGATTTTGGCGTTCTCGACGTTTCAACTTGCCGACGCTCCAAGACGGCCCCAGATGCCCCCAAGATTGCCCCAAGATAGCCTAAGAGGTCTCAAGAGCCCCAAAATGACCCAAGAGAGCCTCAAGACCGCCCAAGATGCTTCCAAGATGGCCCCAGAGGCTCCCCAAACGGCTCCAACAGGGTGCCCAGACGGGGGGGCCGACGAGCCCTCGGCGACAGAGGCTCCCAGGAAGCCCCAAGATGCCCCCAAGAGGCCACCACGAGACCCCCAAGAGGCCCCCAGGAAGCCCCAAGAGGCCCACAGGAGCTTCGCGTGCTCATCCGGCATGAGCTGAGGCTCGGTTGGCTCACCCTTTAACCGCAACGTAGCTACTGAAAAGCGCGGGGCAAGGTAGCTGCCCCCGGAGTGCCGAGCCCAAGAACACTCCAAAGCAACCCCAAAGGCTCCCAAGACTCCCCCCCCCAATACGGTCGAAAAGACCCACGAGAAAGCCCCAAACTGGCCCAAGAAGGCCCCGAGAGAGTCCCCGAGAGAGCCCCAGAGAGTCCCCGAGAGACCCTTGAGAATAGCTCCAGATCGCCACCGCCGTCAACGCCGTCGTCGTCGGCCAAAGACGCTCCAGAGAAAGCCTCACGATTGCCAACAACGGCCCCAACACGACCCCCCCCCCACGAGACCCAAAGATACCCCCAAGAGGCCCCCCCCGCCACATTAGAGAACGCATGGGTCGCCCTCCAGGGTCGGCGGCACCGGCCGTAAGGCCTTCGCAATCCTGTGCGCTAAAACAACACATGAGAGGAATAAAACGCCCCGCTCGGGGAAAATACAGGGAGGACAGTAGTAGTTGCATACATTAAGTTTGGATGGCCGCGACGATTCGTTTTGTTGGGGGCGGGGGGGGAGGGTAGGATATGCTCAATGCGTGCGTGTCGACTTCCTCCGTCTCGACATGCCCAGATTCCTCGATCAAGCACCCCCCCAAGCTCCTCACAATGACGTCCTTACCGACGCCCATGCCATAGAGCGCCTCGCCGACTCTGCCGCCTCCGATGATAACTGCGCCAGGTTCCTCCTCTGGCAATGGTGGAGGCACTGGAGCATCCAGTGCTGCAGCGCATCTGCAGCATATTGATACTTACTGGTTGCAAATGGTGGAATCTGGAGGACGACGACGGCTACGACCGAATCAAGGAGAAGAACCGCAGAGCACGAGACTTGCAACAAATATAATGCCACGGCATCTCTGGACTTGAAACGTCCAGTATCACATGGACGCAGTGAGAATACACTGCACAAAGAAAAGCCACATGCGGACTAATCCAATATGGTGCTGCACGCCTTTGGAAAGAGTGCTGCTAGAAACACTCGAGACGGCCCCGCAAGGAGAAGACGCTCGGCGCCGTGTGCGCACAGCAGAATATGTGCGTGCGCCATCCGAGTACTTCGTGCGCGCTAGACACGTATACGACGCGCTGCGCGCACTGAAACGATCCGCTGCTACATGTCAACTGGACAAGAGATCCAAAACATCGCGGCCAATGGACTAGTACCAATGGGGCAGTCCCAGCGCAACCCTACCCTCACTTGATTTGGAAAGGCCCAGGGTCTGGGCTCATCCAATCGAGCCCCTTTGTAACGGTGGCGCAAGGAAAAAAAAGGCGATCCTGCTGACGCCAGTGCCGCGCAAGACCGTCGTGGCAGCCGCGGCCGCCACCGCCACCCGCAACTTGTCCCTCGAGCGAGCTAGCCGGGCTGCGCCACACAGAGCCGCAGCGCGCAAAGTGGTCGTGCGCGCTGGCACACGCCGCAAGAGCGCCGCGACAGCCGCCACGACCACGGCTGCAGCTGTAAGCGGCCCGCCCCGGCGATCTGCAGCAGAGGCTGGCAAGCTGGCCTTCACTTCGGCTCAAGCGCGGGTGCGCACTGTACGGCTCTCTGTCTGCTGCTTCTCCGGCTGCCTCTCTGGTCTTGCATGCGTGCTCTCCTCAGGGAAACTCTCAGCCCACAACGGATCGCGCTGCACGGATATGCCTAGCGAATGGAAACACCAACATATCGAACCATTGCCGACTCAAAAGGTTGTAGCATCTGCATGCTTCTGCGCACCCTTTTGCTTGATAGCGTGCTCCGAGCGCAGCTGTTTCTTTCTCTGTCGGGTTGCTCAGCCTGCTGATCCGACAAGGTCACCTGCTGACTCCACATTGCACAAAAGACCGCATGCTAATTCTGAGCCGTCGCATCGCATTCCGCCGAGTGTCCCCCCTGCAAGGTGTGAAAGTTGGCTCAAGCTCTGGCTACTGGTGCTCTGCACGTCGCTGGCCTCCTCAACTCTAGCTCGTGGGTCTCATTGAATACGCTCATGGCAGTCGTCCCCCCTCCCCCCGAGCGGCCCGAGAGCTTACTGTAACTATGCACGGCGAAACGCCGGTGGCACAGGGCGCCGCGTGCAGCGAGGACGGACGCTGCTCTGCAGCGGTCGCGAATCCTCGGCGTCGGGGTGAGAACGCGAAATGACGAAGCAACATCCAGAAGGACATCACCAGCGACTGGATCGGAAGAGCTTCGAGGGACGGGCTACTCTCATGCCACACCTGACGCTTTACACCTTGTGGAACTGAAAAGAGGCCAGACTCTGATGCCAGACACCTATCAAGCCTATCAAAACGCACGACCTAGAATTCAGGGTCGGAAGAAGTGGGTAGACACATGAATTAGGAAAGGGTTGAACATAGTTTGGATTTCCGCCCGCTCCCTGAAGAGGAAGGAGAAGGGAACATCGCTCGAAATAAGAAGGCGCTGCCCTGGTCGGCTGCAAGCCCCTCTGGCCCTGGCCGAAACCCGAACTCGCTGCAACCATATTATATTATTTCTCGGGCCTGGATACTCGCAAACCCCTGGATTCCGCAAGCCTTATTCTCCTCCTCCTCCTCCTCCTCCTCCTCCTCCTCCTCCTCCTCCTACTTCTCCTCTCAGTCCTCCTCCTCTTTCCTCCCCTTTCCTCCTCCTCTTTTCCCCTCCCCTTTCCTTCTCCTCTTTTCCCCTCCCTCCCCTCCTCCTCCTCCTCCTCCTCCTCCTCCTCCTCCTCCTTCTCCTCCTCTTCCTCCTCTTCCTCCCACCCCTCCTCCCCTCCGGCGGGCCAGACGAAAGAAAAGGGTCGTGCAAAAGGGTGTTGGCCCCTCGGCTCAGGCAGGCGGCTCTCCGCTCGCCTCCTGGCGCCAGAAGCGCCAACATATACCGAGGACTCCGCCCCCCTGGCCCGACCCGGCTCCAGGTTCTATAGCTTCCGTTTCCTGGCCAAAGAAATTATGCAAGCGGCCGGGCAGGCTCCCCTGAAATCCTGGTGGTTTCATTTTTTCGCACGGCTCGACCTGAACAACGTTTTCAATTTTCGTTTTGCTTTCGTTTTCCCTCGTTCCGCCTTTGGTGCAAAACGAGATCAATCTGGGCGTCTGTGGTTTAACGCATTTTGTCTTGTCTCGGCCAAAGCTTCATCCTTTCCCTGCTAGGGGGAAGGTTTTACCCTACCCCGCCCCCTGGGCCTGGAAGGGGCGCCCCGCGAGGGGCTAGAGCGTCCAGGATGGCCCCAGATGACGCCAAGAGGGCCTCTGAGAGCGCAAGATGGCCTCCAAGATGGCTCAAGATACCTCAAGATGGTTCAAAGTAGCCTCCGACTCACATCTAAGAGGCCTTCAGACGACCCCAAGACGGTTTCAAGTGCCCTCCGAGCACTCCACGGACACCCCCAAGATGCCCAAATGGCTCCAACACCTAAGGGAAAAACAGTGTTTTTGGCTCTCTCTCCTTTTCGATTTCCATGGGCTCTTGCCTCCTCAAGATGGGCCCAAGACGGCCCAAGAGAGCCCCCAAGAGGGGCTCCAGAAAGCCCCCAGACAGTCCAAAGAGCACCCAGGAGCGCCACAAGAGCACACCAAGAGGGCCTCAAGACGCAATTTTTGAGACTCCCAGGGGGGTCCTGAATTTCGACCCCCCTCTTTTAAAGTCATGGGGGCCAAGACGGCGCCAAGAGGCCTCCCAGACCCCGCCACCGAGCCCCAAGAGGGCTCCAAGAGAGCCCCCAAAGGGCCTCAATAATGCACCAAGAGGCTCCGCGAGGACCCCAGGAGAGCCCGAAGACGGTTCCAAGAGACCTCCGAGAAAACGCTTCCAAGGGCCTTCGAAGCGTTTTCTCGGTTGTTACATAGCACTCTTCCACACTTCCCTGATGAAAGCAACTCGCCTGGCGTTTTTTTTTTTTTTTTTTTTTTTTTTTTTTTTTTTTTTTTTTTTTTTTTTTTTTTTTTTTTTTTTTTTTATATATATATTTTTTTATGTAAATATATATTTATATATGTATATATATAAATATATATAAAGCCGCAGGCAGAAGCGCCAGCGGCGGAAGGTCGCGAACGGGCCGCGGACGCGACTAAATTACCTAACGCGCGCAGGGCCGCGGATCAGGCGGCTCACGACAGCGTCCAGGGAAGACGATGCAATCCAGGTGCCATGACAGCCCCTGAACGGGCATGCAGGTGCGTCCAACAAGCCTGAGGTAGGCACCGAGACCACCTAGCGCAGCCAAAATGGCGCGAAAACGTTCCGACGTCCAAGAAAGACAAGGGAACGACCGAGGACGCCAGCCCCAGCCTGTCGGGTAACACAGAGGTCGGGGTGGCAAGTCCAACGAGGATCCCGACGGCGGCAGCGAGCCGCGGCGTCAGCGACATCAAGGTGTATCCATGATCCGAGAAGACAACCACACCACTGCTGACGGGGATACGCGAAGCGTTCATTTTCTTCGCAGGGATCGACCTAACATACTTTTCAGTTCTCGTTTTGTTCTAAGCTCGTTCTGTCCTCTCTGTCTGTACTGCAAAATAGAATAAAATCGAAAACCGTCCACGAGATCGCTAAAACACCGTTTAGGTCGAGCCCTGTTTTTTCGAGCTGGACGCTTTGGCCTAACTTCGGGCCCCGAATCCCTCGCAGATCGATCCGGCTCGAAAGATAGCGCAGAAAGATGGTGTCCGGGGTTCCAGTCGCGATTTTTCGCCATGCCTTACTTTTCCGAGAGGGTCCCCAGTGGGCGGCGCCTGGGGTCGCTTGGGTAAGGGGGCCTCCTGACGAGAGCTCCTCCCCTCACGGGGAAAGGTCCCCTCAAAAGGACCAGCTTCTCAGTAGGGAAACAAAGGCGGCATACATATAATCTTCCAGAGGTCCACGGGGAGTTCCTGGACCGGCGCGCCAGGTGCAGCGCTGGAGGCGCCGCCAGGGGGGCGCAGCGCCGATCTAAGAAATCTGGGAATCCGTGCGGACCTCCGAACATTTACGTACGCTCATCTTTTTCCACGAGCAGATGCAGTGATGATGAAAATCCCACCAGCCCTCTGGGCGTCGGTGGTTTAGGGCGTTTCCTCTTCCACCCCTCCTTCTTCCCCTTACCCCTCCCCCTACCCCCTCCCAATGGACCTGGACAGGGGGTTCCGCGAGTCGTCGGAGCGTCCAAAATCATTTGTTTTACTAAGGTTTTGGCCCCATTTTGGCCTCCTGAGGAGGGGGCCCTAATTGGGGACCCCCCCTCCTGTGATCGATCTCACCCAAGATGGCCCCCAAAACTCCCAAGGGTGCCCCAAGAGGGCCCCAAGAGGTGGCCAGGAAGCCCCAAGAGGCCCCCAGGATGCCCCCAAGAGGCTCCCAAGAGACCCCCAAGAGGCCCCCAGAGACCCCCCAAGAGGCACCCAAGATGCTCCAAGAGGCCTCGGCGAGAATGCCAAATCATTGATTTTACTAAGGTTTTAGCCGCATGTTGGCCCTTTGGGGGGGGACGGATTAAGATGACTCCAAGAGCGCCTGGGAGAGCCCAAGATGACCTACAAGATGGCTCAAGATATCCCAAGATGTCTCATAATGGCTCCCACGATGCTCCGAGATGCCCCAAGACCGCTCCAAGACGGCTCCAAGTGGCCAAAGAGCTCCCCCAGGAGGCCCCGAAGAGGCCGAAACCTTAGGAACATCTGTGTTTGGCTTTCTCGCCTTTTCGCTTCCAATGGCCATCCGAGGCCTCAAGATGGCTCCAAGATGGCCCAAGATGGCTCCAAGAGAGACTCAAGAGAGCCCCAGGACGGCCCCAAAAACGCCTAAGAGAGCTCCAAGAGCACCCCAAGAGGCGATTTTTCGGGCTCCCGAGGGGCAACGCTAACTAATGCTCGCTGCTTGTTTGATGGATGTCCTCCAAGATGGCCCCAAGAGCGCTCCCAAGGCTCCCAAGAGAGCTTCAAGAGGGCCCCAAGAGGCGCCCAGGAGGCCCCAACAGGCGCCCAAGAGGCCTCCAAGATGCTCCCAAGAGACGCTCTCCGAGGCACCCAAGACGCTCCAAGAGGCCTCCACTGGGGGACCCTTCGTCTGTGTGCTGCCCACTTCCCTGATGGAGGCAATTCCTCTGGGCATCACTTCCCTGATCGAGGCAATTCCTCTGGGCATCGTTTCTGGATGGGCTGGTGGGGTTACTTTTTCGGTCGCGGCCGCAAGCGAAGAGGCAGGCGGCGGGCAGGGAATATGGGCAAACGGGCAAGCCTAATTAGCTACAGAAGGCACAAGCCGGCCGGCCCACTCACAAAGCAGCCGCGAAGCTGAAAGGGGAGCTGACGGCGGGGGGCACCCTGGGAGCTCGAGCGCGTGCACAGGACAAAATGTCGAGGAATTCGGTGCCTGCCAGTGGCACGACCCACACAATATCAAGACGTGAGCCACAGTAACCGAGTCCGTCGTTCTGAATGGGGGCAAGCGCGAGGCCTGTGGAGCGAGTCGCTGGTGGGGCGCCAGGCTCCAAACGCCATTGACGACGTGAGCTAGCCAGGGGGGCTGAGCTGTCGCGAACCGTGATGCAACGCAACTTGCTGAAAGCTGATGGTGAGCCTGGGGTGCTGCAGCTGCTGCGGAAGGCTGGACCACTCCGTGGCGATATCAACATCCGTCAGTCCACCCAACAGTGCAGGGGGGAGCCAAGCGACTGTGCCACGCAGTGCGTGCCAGCACGGCGTCAAGCCTCAGAGTGAGGGGAGAAGACCAGCTGGCGTGGTGAGCATCGCCAGCGGGGTAGGGCAGTAAAGGGAGCTGCACTGGTGGTAGTGCTGCCTCCTGAAGTACGCCAAACTGAACCAGGGACAAGCATATCCACAAGTAAACAGAGCTGGCTGTACCTCCCGGGGCACGTGGCGCATGTGCGAGAAAGTGTGCCGATGCCATTGGGTGATGCGACCTGGGGGGTGCTGCGCTGGGGCAGACACGAGAGCCGACGGACGCCATGTTCTGACCCTGCCCGCCGCTTCGCACTTTCACGCAAGACTCGGGTTCGTCCACCAACGCGCACCGCGTGAGCCTCCAGGGTCGCAGCAAGCCGCCGCTGAAAGTGGGGAGCCATACCACGGACAGCGAGGGGCACGGGCGGCCCTGGGAGGGGGGGGCAACAACACCGGCGTCTTTCGG